AAGTTAGTCTAATTCGATTACAAATGTCAATATTGAACTTCAATTTTATTTTTTATTTTTTTGAAAGAATTTATGGAGATACATGTGAACAAATACATCCACCATGTGAATCATTCTATTATTTTATGGTATAAATTGATTCTTTTACTAGAATGTCACATGTTTGCCTACTTTTCCACTAGAATGTAGCTTTTCCTAGACGACTTGCTCAAATCATAAAATTATAAGTACAATTTTCAAATTACTCAATCAAGACTATTCGTCTTGACAATGCTAATGAATTTAGATCACAAGTATTCGATGATTATTGCATATTAATTGGGATTGTTATTGAACATTCGATTAATCATGTCCATATACAAAATGGTTTAGCGGAATCATTTATTAAACATTTTAAACTTATTGCTAGATCATTACTTATGAAAACAGAACTCCCAACTTGTTTAGGGTTACACCATATGACATGCTGTGACATTGGTTAGTATCAGACCAACTGTCTATTATCAATATTCATCATTGCAACTAACATTTGATCATGAACCTGATATATTTTTTACCAACGGATTTTTAGTTGTAAAGTCCAAGTTCCTATTTTACCCCTATATCATACTAAAATGGGACCCCCAACCAATACTTGGAATATATGTAGATTTTGATTCACTATCCATTATCAGGTATCTTAAGGTTTTGATTCACCATCCATTATCAGGTATCTTGAACCTTTATTGGGTGATTTATTTACTATATGTTTTGTAGGTTGTCATTTTGATAAATGACTTTCCCAACTTTGGTAAGGAAAAACTACGTCCTGAAAAATAAAGTAAAATTTCTTGGAATGAAACAACTCTATCTCATTTTAATTCTCACAGCAATCAACGTAAGCATGAGGTTGAAAAAATATTCATTTGCAAAGCGTTGCAAATCAGTTACCTGATGCATTTGTTGACACAAGAAAATCGACAAAGTTATATATATCAACATAAAATATTTCAGTAAAGATTGATATCCCTGCAGAACAATCCACTCTAACAATTAGCAAATGAGGAATCTACCTCATCAGCCATGGGTGGCTTCACTGAAACGAATCCCTTTCTTTGATAAGAAAGATTCCGGAAACTCTCCCAATCGATAGTAGGTTCTGAGGTAGACCATCAACGGCAACAAGTGGCGTCATTGGATGAAGACTTCTACTTTAGGTTATTCGGATGCAGATGCGTCTCTATCTAAAGATAGCCTAAGTAGGATACTTCATATGACCTTTCGCACAACATGATCGCGAACGAAGACAGAGAATTGAGACTCATTTTCGTGCCCCCATATCTCTTCCCTCCACTCGGTTTTCGCGTCTATAGAGATGCCCTTATGTTATTATCTTTCGATCATTCGGTTTAGTTCTTCATCGAACCTATGATTTCAGGGATCGCTCCACTCCTTGTGCAAACGCTCTTTGCGAATCTCAAATATGCTAAAAACGTGATCGACCAATTGGTTCTAAATACTCTGTACCTCAAGAAAGAGTACAAGACAAAAATCAACCAAAAACTCTAGAAGAATTAACATTTTAAAAGACTGATCAATCAAATATTGCAAATATAATTCCTAGAAAACCATAAGTGTCCGAAAGTAATGAGATTTCAATAAGATATATGTTATCTGATAAATTATGGGAATCAAATAATGTTATTATAGACAACATTTTCACCTTCAACGTGACTCTTGATATTATGCAAAATAAAGATTCTGAACCACAGTCTATTAAAGACTATCAAAATAAAAATGATTTGCCAAAATGAAAAGAAGTCATAAAGTCAAAATTGAACTCCTTAGAGAAACGAAAATGTTTGAACTCCTTAGAGGAACAAACAATACATGAACGAGAATCATGTTATCAATTAATTGTAAAGATCATTATATACATGTGGTATAATCACCTTAGCAAATTTATTTTTTTAAGGAGGATTATAAAAATAACGATATATGTCTATGTGTTTTCATAAAGAAAACAAAGATTGAATTTACAATTGGAATAGTTTATGTTGATGATTTAAATTTAATTGAAATTTTTGAAGAGCTCAACAAAATTGTTGATTATTTGAGAAATGAATTTGAGATGAAGGATTTGAGAAAAATCAAAATTTCTCTTGAGTTGCAAATTAAATATTTCCCAGAAAAATTATTTGTTCATCAATCTACATCTATGAAAAAATTTTAAAATATTTTTATATGAATAATGCACATTCATTGGCATTACTTATAGTTGTTTAATCACTTGATGTGAAAATAGATCCAATTAGTCCACTTAAAGACCATATCTATTGGAGTATTAATGTATATTGTAAATTGTACTCAACCAAACATAGTTTTTCTGTAAATTTTCTTTCAAGATATAGCTCTACACCAATTCAAAAAAATTGGAATGGTGTTAAACACATTTTTCGTTACCTGAAAGGTACTGTTGATTTAAAATTATTTTATTTTCAAAAGTTAGAATCTATTTTAATTGGATATGTAGATGCAAGTTATCTTTTTGATTCATAAAGCTAAATCACAAACAAGCTATATATTTACACATGGATGAACAACTATATCATGGAGATTTGTGAAGCAATCATTGATGACAACATCTTCAAATCATTGCAATCTATTAAGTAGAATGAAAATGTGTATGGTTGAGGAATATGACCCATCATATCCAACCATCATGCGGATTAACTTTATAAAAAGACAGTTCAACAATTTTGTATGAAAACAATACAACTTATATTACACAACTCAAATGATATTATATTAAAGGTGACAGGACAAGATATACTTCTCCAAAATTCTTTAATACACATGATGTTCAAAGAACGACGACATCTATCAATATTCAAGAAATTTGCTCAAATGACAATGTAATTGATTTATTCACAAAAGCATTGTCAACATCTATATTTAAGAAATTGGTTCACAAGATTAGAATGAGTTGACTGAAAGATCTTCAATGCTTTTCATCAGGGAGAGTAACTATATTCTTTTTCCTTAGTCAAGATTTTGACCTATTGGATTTTCCTAGCAAGTTTAACGAGACAGCATTTTTCTTTATACTCCAAAACATTTACAATTAATTGTATTCTTTTTTCATCTGTTTGATTTTTTTTTCATTAGATTTTTATCAAATAATATTTTTAATGAGGCAATTATTGTATAAATAATCATCAAAGGGAGAATGTTGTAAAATAATGAGAAAATTATTGATGATTATTTAGTATTATATATCATAATAATACTTATATAATTCATAGAGTCTATTTCATTTCAATTATAACTCTTATTTTAGACCCTGTAAATACGGGTCTTCATTTTCAATAAAATACATACTTGAATTTTATCTCTTATATTCTCTCCTCTTTTTCCCTCTTTTCATGACACTGAGAAGGTTTTATTTCTAATAATAGATTTAGACTTTTGGCAGACTCTAGTACTATGTATATTAGATCGTGGGATGGCGGTGGGGGACCCTTAAGGTTGGGGTTCAACCTTTATATTAGATCGTGGGATACGTCAAGTTAAACCAATCTCAATTATTTGCTTTTCCAAAGGATTCTCCACTTTTCTATGCCTAGCCGAAAGACACCGACTCGAGTTGACAAAAAGAGAGAGCCCTAAAATTCAATAGATGGAAAATGACTATCATGTGTTAATCTCAACAGTATGACAACGTATTAAAGACCTTTTTTGTGTTGGATTTATATGTGCAATATCTTTGGGATTAAATAATGAAATTTCACGTTGGTCTCCAAACTGTATTCTATTCCAAATTGACTACTAAAATTTGCACTGTATTTCAAATTTGTTGCTTGTTTAAATTTATTCATCCGTCAAACTGAAATAATAAGGCAAACTTAAATGCTTATTTCAGAACAAAATAAAGTTTGGTGACCAACATGAAATTTCGTATAAGATGAATGACTAAAATGGTTTTATAACTAAATATATTAGTGTCGTGCTACATTGTGTCAATAATTGTAAATATATAATAACGAGTGTACAAAACTCAAAAACGTCAACTAGAAAATATATCATCTTGATATTTATTTTATTGGTATATCAATAATATATATAGCCCTCGTTTGTTTCTCATTTTTGAAAGAATGAGAATGAAAAATATAGTCGTTACGGACTCCACACAAATAATAGAAATTTAAATTTTGTGGCTTTATATGATGGATAACGATCATATTTTTCATTTTAATGAGAAAATAATGAGAACCAAACAAGGGCATAGAGTGTGTTTGGGAGCGGTTATTTCCAAATTATAATGAGAAACTCCTCTGTTATCTACAAAAAATGGGGCCCACAATGTTGCAGCATTTTTTTACTGCACCGTCTAGTCAATTAGAAATTTTAGTGAAAAGATCAATGTGTCCCTACATTATGGAAATTTCACATCATTACAAAGACATTGTTGACATTCCAAATACTAGGTGAAACATAGCTTGCAGTTAATATCCCTTTTTAAACAATTTCCTTGCAATCATGGGGCCCATTTGCCGTGTACAATGGTCAAAATTTTCATTAAAATTTGAGTGGAATCGCTACCAAAAACACGCATAATGCCTACTTGACAAGACATTATAGTACAATATTGTGAAATCTTCTCTCTTTTTTTTTTTTTTTTTTTTTTTTTTATGTTTTCGTCTCACATGCTGTTGTTCAGCTTTCCTTTTCCCTTCCCCTCATGGAATCGCTAAATATGTCACAACAGAACAAATAACTGTGATGAAATTGAAGTTGAAGCAAATTAACTAATCATACAGGAGAAGTTTTTGTCAGATATAATTTAATTTCTTATTATATTTACTGTTGAATTGAAGTTAAATGGTTTTCTCAAGTCGTATATCTACTATTTTTTTTAATTAAAAATTGAATACTCAATTAATCATAGCCCATTATACACGCTATAAGAAATTATAGTGGAGTCTAATTCATTGAAGGACACATCCTCCACTTGTGCTTCATATATAATATGATATGCATGAGCACACAATACTTGAAAAACTTCAACCTTCTTTAATTACTCTAAACATGATATCACAAAAAATGATGGAGATTAACAGATTCATCAAACTATTGAGTGTGCTGATGTTTGCACTTTCACTGTGCATGAAGCTTACTTCAGTATCTGCTACTGAAGTTAGGTGCATAGAGAGGGAAAGACAAACCCTTCTCAAGTTTAAGCATGACTTTGTTGATGAGTACGGCCTTCTCTCATCCTGGGGAAGTGAAGAAGTTCAAAAAGAATGTTGCAAATGGGAGGGCGTCTTGTGTAGCAACAGAACTGGTCATGTAATTTTTCTTCATCTGGATGCATCTCTGCCGTTTGGTCGTCTTCATTTGAAGGCTAAGCTGAGCCCCTCGCTGCTTGAGTTGCAATATTTGAATTATTTGGACCTGAGTCATATTGACTTTGGAGGAAGTGAAATACCAAAATTCTTTGGTTCCTTCATGAAATTAAGGTACTTGAGACTTATAGACTCAAATTTGACGGGTGAAGTTCCTTGTGAACTTGGGAACCTTAGAAACCTGCATACTCTTAATCTTGGTTATAACGATTTGAGAATCAATAACCTTGAGTGTCTTTCTCATCTTTCCTCGTTATCATATCTTGGCTTGACTGGTGTTAACTTTGTTAATCAAACCAGCTGGTTGCACTACATAACAAGGTTCCCTTTTCTTAAGGAACTGGACTTGAGAGACTGTCAACTTCCCTCCACTGTTTCTTCCTTTGATATCTTTACTAATTCCTCTTTATCCTATCTCTCTATCCTCGATCTATCCAGCAATGATCTCACTTCCTCTTTCACATTCCACTGGTTGTTTAACATTAGTGCAAGTCTTACAAAAATAGACCTTTCCTACAATCAATTAGAGGGTCCTATTCCTGATGGCTTTGGGGAATTGATTTTTCTTGAGGAGCTTGCGTTGAAGAACAACAAGTTCCACGGTGGGATTCCAAAGTCTTTTGGGAATTTAAGTCATTTATATTCATTAGATATATCGTACAATGAATTAAATGGTCCTTTGCCAGATAACAAGAAGTTGAATGAATTTCACCCACGAGGCCTTGGGCTACCTTCAAGTCTTCAACGATTAGACTTATCTTCCAATAAATTTAAAAGGCTGCCTGAAGGTATTGAGAAACTATCCGAGCTCAGAGTTTTAGTGATGGCTTCAAATTTGTTGGATGATACAATCACCGAATCGTACCTCTCAAACCTTTCCAACTTAACTTTCCTCGATTTATCCTTTAATTCTTTGGTTTTCAACTTGAGCTCAGATTGGATTCCTCCTTTTCAAATGCAAGAAATGCAGCTGAGCCGTAACCATCTGGGGCCTCATTTTCCAAATTGGATTCGAACGCAGAATTCTCTTGGACAGCTTGATATCTCCTTTGCTGGTATATCGGATGTATTACCTGATTGGCTGTGGAATATGCCTTCTTTAAAATACTTAGTTCTTTCTCATAACAATATTCGGGGTCAAATTCCTAATTTGCCCTCAAACTTGGTTCCACTTGGAACTGTAGATTTAAGTTATAATAACCTTTCAGGTCCCATTCCATTATTTCTTTTTCACTATAGAAATTTACAGCTTTCCAATAACATGTTTTCGGGATCCATTCTTCACTTATGCACAATTCCCAAGGGCATATCCATGCTTGATCTCTCGTATAACCAATTGGCAGGAGAGCTTCCTAATTGCTGGATGAACATAAGTGATCATTTAATCATTCTGGATTTGGCAAATAATAATTTCGCAGGTAAAATTCCCCTCACTTTGGGCACTTTGGATCAGCTCCTGGTATTACACTTGCGCAAGAATAATTTCGTTGGTGAATTGCCTTCAACTATGAGGAATTTCTCGAGGCTGATAATGCTTGATGTGGGAGATAACAAGTTAACAGGTAATGTTCCAGCATGGATAGGAACACACTTGACAAGTTTGAAATTTCTTATCCTTCGGTTTAATGAATTTGATGGAATCATGCCTTCAACAATTTGCCACCTTAACAATATTCATCTCTTGGACCTTGCTAGAAACAATATTTCAGGAAGAATATCACGATGTTTAAACAATTTTACAGATTTGGTTCAGAAGAACAGTTCATCAATTAAAGACACTGGTTCTTTGGAATTTAATTTCTTTTACGCACCTGATGATTTTTATCTTGACAATACTTTTGTTCAATGGAAAGGGCAAGATTTAGAATTCCGAAAACTTCTACGACATTTGAAAGGCATTGATCTATCTAGTAATAAGTTAGTGGGAACCATTCCTCAAGAGTTTGCTGCTTTAAAAGGTTTAGTTTTCTTGAACTTATCTAGAAATCATTTGACGGGAAATATTATTTCAAACATCGGTAAAATGGAGACGTTGGAATGGCTCGACTTGTCTAGAAACCAACTTTCAGGGGAGATACCAAACAGCCTTGCAGATCTAAATTTTCTCGGCGTTCTAAACTTATCATACAATAATTTGAGGGGAAAGATTCCTTCAGGCACTCAACTACAAAGTTTCAACTCCTCTGTGTATGCTGGGAATATCCAACTCTGTGGGAAGCCTCTGGCAGAGTGTCCAGGAGATATTTCTAACGGTTCTACTACTGATCAAGAAGAGGGGAATAGTTTTGAAGAAGATGATGGGTTTATAACGCTTGGTTTTTACATCTGCATGGCATTTGGTTTCATTATTGGATTCTGGACAGTTATTACAACTCTAGTCCTCAAGCATTCATGGAGACATTCCTACTTCAACTGGTGGAACAATGTTGGGAACTGGATGTACGTGACAACAACAGTCTATTTGAGAAGATTGAAGAGAAAATTTCTGGCGTGAAGGTAAACTTTTAAATTTATTTGATCAATTTGGTTGTTTAATACTTGACTTCTTTTTATACGGAAATCAGGAGCCCCTTTTGGAAGAAAAGAAAGTGTCGACTATCATTCGAACAAGTTGCTAGCTGGAGAGGTGCTGGGACTACGGATGGCAATGTTTCTGCTCTAGTTTTTAAGTATTTGTAAAATAATATCAGTTTGCGAGTTCTCAAATCTATACAAAAAACTAGCTTTGTTGTGCTAACCATGCAGGTAAAAATGAATTTAATGTCTGTCAAGTATATGGCTTGATTTATTAGATGGTTTAGCCATTTCCATTCACGTAAATCACTAGTTTAATATGTACGTAATAGACATCTCAAGCCACTCTCTTTAGATTCGTCAGTGCAAGATGCAAATAAAGTAAATAATAAATTTTATACTCCACTACATGGTGGAGACATCGAATCGTACGCTAATAAATTAGTGAGGGTCGGCTAAAGCTATAAGAAAAAATTCGAAGTAACAACATTATGATATTTAAGTTTATTCTTTATCCTCTCTTAGCCTCGACTGTTGAGGTGCTGATGAGAGTATGTATATGTTGCTCGTTAAAATTGTATGTTCCCTAGACATAGTCTAGTATAACTAATCAAAGTTTAGAGATAACCCCTCATGGGGTGGCCGAGTTAGTGGAGTAGGTGAGCACGGAGACATTTGATCACAAATTCGATTCTCCCTACTAACACTTTCTCGGTCGAGCCTGTCGCACCCGACTTGTCTAGTACAGTTTACCTGACTGTCGTGGTTTGCAGGTTATTGCATCAGCTCGAGGATTTACCCAATGCGCATTCGAAGAGTACTGGCTGCGGGTTCCCCGTCAAAAAATAAATAAATAAAAAATAAAAGTTAAGAGATTGCTTCCAATTTCAATAAACAAAGTTGCACAAATTGTTTCCATGAAAAACCCTACCCAGAAGAGCAATTGTATTTAGAATTATAAAACCGACTACAGAAAGCCGGGATGTACCCATTTTTCCTTTAATATAATAATATAAAAACTACAAAAAATAAAAAAAATTGATCCACATGCCATTTATATGGAGTTATATGTACGTTCCTTTCTAAACATTATTTAGATTCAGGACACTTAGTGACAATAGACTACACTTCCTCAACGCATGATAACGAATGAAGCTCAGGCCTCATCAGTTTCAACAGTCAGATCCTTCAATCCAAGATCGTGATACAAACCATGGGCATATTGGAGTATCGGTTGATGATCCATTCCCTTCTTCACCTGCTCAATATTGCACCTTACTTTCAGGTCATTGGTATGGCTGTCGCCATTTAAACAAGGATAATTCTTGTTGTACATAAAAAATTGTATATAATGGTGTCCCTCACTCACATGGGTTGGGCCCACCTGAATATTTTATGTATACATAGCACGCTCCTTTAAACAAATGATCAATCATGTACCTGTAACGAATGTGTGCCAATGACGTGACATGGCACCAACTCCCAAAATGAGCTTGAGATTGACCTAGTTGTAGATGCATAAGATAAGAGCACTTAAAATCAATGGGTAATTGGCACAAAACGTCCTTACCTTTCAAGTCTATTGTGGAAAACGTCTCTACCTTTCATTTTTTGGCATTTTTGCCCTCATTTCAACCTTTCTTTGCGCTGGACGTCCTTCCGTCCATATTCCGTTAGTTTTTCCGTTAATTAAAGGGTAATTGGCACAAAACGTCCCTACCTTTCAAGTCTATTGTGGAAAACGTCCATACCTTTCATTTTTTGACATTTTTGCCCTCATTTCAACCTTTCTTTGCGCTGGACGTCCTTCCGTCCATATTCCGTCAGTTTTTCCGTTAATTAAATACAAAAATACCTTTTTCTTTCCATAAACAAGGATAAAATTGTTCTCACCCACTTCACCCCCTTTTCCCGCCATCAACTTAGTCCATAAGTAACAGTAGCAGCGACATGAATCTGAAAATACTTTAAATGATTAAGTTAAATAAAGAAAAAATATCGTAAACACATTATATTTCACAATTCCACAACTACTGTTGTTGTCATCTTGTGTCACTGGAAAATTTTAGAAAGACATATTAAATGGGTAGTCAATTTATAATGAGTCAAAATGGTGAATGGCTCTTTTTGGCTCAATGGAGAAGATGAATGGCTCATTTTAAATTGACTCATTATAAATTGACTACCCATTTAATATGTCTTTCTAAATTTTTCCAGTGACACAAGATGACAGCAATAGTAGTTGTGGAATTGTGAAATATAATGTGTTCACGATATTTTTTCTTTATTTAACTTAATCATTTAAAGTATTTTCAGATTCATGTTGCTGCTACTGTTACTTATGGACTAAGTTGATGGCGGGAAAAAGGGGTGAAGTGGGTGAGGACAATTTTACCCTTGTTTATGGAAAGAAAAAGGTATTTTTGTATTTAATTAACGGAAAAACTGACGGAATATGGACGGAAGGACGTCCAGCGCAAAGAAAGGTTGAAATGAGGGCAAAAATGCCAAAAAATGAAAAGTAGGGACTTTTCCACAATAGACTTGAAAGGTAGGGACGTTTTGTGCCAATTACCCGAATGTTTAACGGAAAAACTGACGGAATATGGATGGAAGGACGTCCAGCGCAAAGAAAGGTTGAAATGAGGGCAAAAATGCCAAAAAATGAAAGGTAGGGACGTTTTCCACAATAGACTTGAAAGGTAGGGAGGTTTTGTGCCAATTACCCTAAAATCAATCACTATGTGAAATCACACAGAACATCTGATATTTGCTGACCAACTTAAAACAACTCCACAGCACCTTACATGACAATGCCAACTATTTTTCCAAAGAGGTAAAAGAAATTTTATCGAAAGCAGATCTTTTACTCGATAGAGCAATATTTTTTTTAAATCACAAATTATCGTAATTTTTTTTATTTACTTGGATCTAATATCAGTTTGATCCACACATGAAGTCTAATTTAATTTCACCGTCTGTTAACGAAATCCACGAATTGTACCATTGAAGACAGAAGCTGACCTGTCTCCAACATTTGTTCAAGGCTGAAGTAGGAATGCCGGGTGGTGCCATCTGGAGCAAGACGCCACCAGTAGACTTTAAAGAGCGGCAAGACAAGCATAAAACTGTGACTCAAACAAGACCCGAACACAAGATTTCGGCATTGTTAACCCTGCAGAAAAGAGAATTGACATGACTCACGATTTCAAGGCTCTATGCATAAACTTTATATGAAATTATATATTCAATGAGTGGCATCAAGTTACCCAAGGCTCAGCAACCAGGATGCGAGTATCAAACCTGCGCTGCAAACAAATGATATATGACGACATAAATATTTATCAACACAAATACAATATCTTAATTATGCATCTTTTACAGGGCAAACGTACAGTGATAAATGATGCATCTGATACCTGTGAATGGAATCGGCTAGAATATGTTGGCAAACTGAGTGGCAGTTCATATCTTCAGATTTCCTGTAAACTGCAGGGAAAAAATAGCATAAGAATCTCCAAGAAAAAAAGAAGAAAGAATTAGACAAAAAATGTAGAGGAATATGGATGAACAGACACACAGTTGCACAAAGAAACTCGGCATACAAATTAAAACGAGAAAGCATCGAAGATTATCTTGACAACATCTTTCAACAAACAAGGATGACCATCTGAGTTAGCTCCATTTCAAAAATGTCAAACTTACTGCGTTCCACACGTGTTCTTTAATTTTATATTCACACCCAGAGCAAGTCCTTGTTAGAAAAATGAGAACAGAAAATTATAATTGGGGATCCCATGTGGGTCACTTTGTGAGATGGAAAAAGGTCAAACCCCAAACAAAGCTGCAGGAGATATGTCAGAGACTATATAAAATAAGACATGCCCATGTTTTTAAAAAAATGTTGAACCCCAACCTTAAGGGTCCCCCACCGTTCCTGTCCTGGAGTATCGTGAGAGAGGTAAATTACAGGTTATGCCTCCAAGGGTATAGGGTGGAAGGCTACTTATACACTTGCACTTACCCAATAGCCAAATTTATATTTTAGGATTCGAACCCTTGACGCAGCAACCTCAAGTAAAGCTGAATTTCTCCACCCTCCCCTTTTACCACTTGGAGATGTGCCATGGGGGCAAAAAAATGTTTTTAAGTGTGAGAGATTGGGAGTTATAACCCAAATAAAATCATCATGTTAAAATGGACTAACGAGAATTATGGAGCCAAACTAACAAGGATCCATTACATGTTCTGGATTGATACAGATCAATTAGAAGAGAAGATTCTAAATCAATTAGAAAATGAAAGGAACATGAAGTATGGGCAAAAACGTATTGGATGTACAAAAAATGCGTAAAACTTTCTGCTCGGTTGTCAGAATTTTGGCCATAAGTATAATCCGGAAATGTCTTTTGATTCTACACAAGTTTATTGAATGACAATGTCAAACTTTGGGGATCAAAATTAGTTGCTTAGGGATCCATTTTTGCATTTTTATGTTTTGAATTAGTTTAAGGATATTTTCGTTATTTATAATATTTTAGTTTTATTCATATTTGTTTTGTAGTTTATTTGGATTTGTCTTTAGAATTAGAGTTTAGTTTTGATTAAGAATTTATTTTATGCCTATAAAAGGCTCATTTAGGTCATGTTTGAGCCACATTTTTTCAAAAAAATACTTTTTTAAACAATGATTTGACATCATTTCAACCATACATTTTTCAATAAAATAAGATTACACGTAAATTCAAAATTTTTCTTTATTTTTTAATCACACATTTTCCATCAATACACTATTTAAAAATACATTCTAATGAAAATAATGTAGCTCAAACAAGGGCTTATTGTACAAAATTAAGATATTACTTTTGAGAATTAATAATAATGTGAAAATTTGCACTTTCTATCTTGTTATTAATTGAACAGAACTTATTAAATATTTTCAATATTTGTGGCGTTCAAACTAGGCGAACTTATAAAAGATTCATGCTCTTTATGGCGTTCAACAATTCAAGTAAGATTCGTAAGTTTTGTGATTACGGGGTCAAAATATTGTTTGTGATTGTCTTGGTTCTTTTGTTTAATAATTTATGTGATCAAGCTTCAAACTAGGATTTTAGCTTTCTTGGATTATGATTCAATCTTTTGTTGGTTTCGAAGCTACTACTGCTACGAGGGTTCGCACCAATTGATATCAGAGCTTTGACTCTAAAATCAGGTTTTATTTATTTTTTTCTCTCTTTTTATTTTCGAGAAGAAAAAGAAATTAAAAAAAACAAA